TTGTCACAGTTTTGTTTTTTATTATCAGGAAAAATGGAAATCAAATTTCTAAAATATGGAGTTTTGGCTTTTATTTCTATAAATCCCAACAGATATCGCATATATCGGGCCCGAGGCACGACGAACCCCCCCCCCCCTTCAAAGTCAAATATAATAAAGATTAATAAAAATACCATTTATAAAATTTATTGATATATCATATATATCACCAATATTTACAAAAAAAAAAAAAAAAACAAAAAACAAAAAAGTTTAAAGGAAAAATACTTCTTCGAGCATTTTTAGATGCAAAATCATTGATAATTCTATCAAGTTCAATTTTATCTAACATATATATCTTTATACATAACATTTCTTTTGATATTTATTACCTTAGATAATTCTTCAATAACTTCAACTTTAATAAACTTGTTTTTGCAAATTAAAATGAAACCGTAACATGAATGGTTGATAGGATACTACATTTAATAAAAACATTTGGCTAACAATCCACCAAATTTAAAATGCTCATTTGAATTAGTATCTTATGGAATTCTGATATCAAAGCAATATCTAAAGTAAAAAGGTCATAAAAATGATAACTAAAATAAAATAAAAAATGTAATAAACAATAATTCACATTACAATATTACCTTGTCAAGTTGGATATCTAATATTTTAAAGCTAAAACTCCAAAAAAATCATGTCAAAAGCAAAACAATAGAAACTTTAGAACATAAGACTTCTCATTATACAATTACGTACAAAAGACTACAAACATAATACCTAATTGAATGGAAATTATAAAACTTAGAGCAATGATTTTTACTTTTTCTAAATAAAGGACTTTAAAAATCTAATATACAATCGAATGATATAAGATTTTAAAAACAAGAATTATATATAATGTAGAATGAGATTATAAGAAAAAAAATTCAGAAGCAAAAATCAGAAAAAAATGATACACAAACCTAAGCTTTTAGAAAGAAAATTCAGAAAGAAAAATCATACATCCTTATATGATATCACACAAAGTAGCAAGTATTTAAAATCAACAGAGATGTGAAATCTCCCATTTTTCAGAACCAATTAAAACATTTTCTTTACGCTTTAATAAATTGAGATGCGAAAATTCGTAGTTAAATAAAATATTTTTGAGATAACAAAAGTTATTTCATTTTATTAAAAACTCCGAGGATGTCATCGTTCATATCCAAACATACATTACAACGTAAATACTAAAAGGTCATGAAATACTATAACATACACATCTCTTTATTTCACTCGGCATACTATTTAGACTTCAACAACTTTACATCCACTACCTATGATGCACATAAAATGAGTGGTTCTGGTTTGGAAAACCTGGTGAGATGCATAAGGTTTTCAAGCCCATAATATATTAATGATAATATATAATAATATTCCTACAACAAACATTATAGGTATAATCTGACATAAGAACACCTACCTGCCCAATCGATGCTCACAAATCCTAAGGCAATGATTATCTGGAAGAATCACCCAACGTGATAAACCGTTTGAGTATTTGGTTGACTACACAGCTAGGGGAGTCCATGCCCAATGTAAGTCATATAAAGGAAACCAGTGTCCAAAGATATTGATAAATATGGTATCCCATTTTATCTATGTTTGTGGGTTATAAGTCCATACTAGAAACGTAATTCACTAGACCACATAGAATAGTCAAGTGTTGTCGTCTACTCTGCTTGATGACCTAGACATACTTGCCAGTTGTTTGATCTGAACCCACCATTTTTGGTCATCCAAGAAAGACGAGGAATATGACACTCTACTATGATCTCATACTCTGCCCCAGAATGAGACCTAATCAATATACAACTTATGAGGAACTGACCAACTTTTACAAGTCTTATTATAGCTAATCCAGACTTATGCTAAAGACAAATCTATTTCCCTTATCGTTCCTAACAGGCAGTACCATCATAGTTATATATATAACTGACGACACACAGTTTATATGATTGAGTCCAGTCCAATGTCATTGGCCGCGTACCAATAACATCAGACTAGGGGGACTTGATGATATTAGGCCCATTAGCATGGCCTAGACAACTCTAGCGTGCCAGCCTTGCCTGGTGCGCTCCTGCCATCCCTGTCTGGCGTTCTTTTTCCAGCCTTGCCTGACCCTCCCTTGCCGACCCTACCCAACACTCCCTTTCCAGTCCTGTGTGGCGCTCTCTTGCCAACCTTGCCTGGAACTCCCTTGTCGGCATTTCCTGGTGCGTGCCCGCAAGCCTCACCGACGCCTCCGGGGGCCTCGCCCAGCTCCTTACTAGTTGGGCCTGAATTGGGCTGGCCCAAGGCCTGACCTAATTCCCCTTGAACTAATTGTCCCCTATAAAGTGAATAGTGCCTCCTCCATGGAGAAGGACTCGGCCCAGTGGCTCAACCGCCACCCTAATCTTTCCCCTTGGCTTAGCCGTCGCCCTAGACTCCGACCGGGTGGCTCAACCGCCACCCTCCGCATTCAGCCACCATACACCACCACCAGCACCAAGATAGTTCTCTCCAGCTAAGGAGAACCATCTCATCTCTACCAGCCGATCTAACTTGATCGTCAGAGCTTGCTCCCGGGGCACAATCCTTAGGGCGGTTCTAACGACCTTGTCTGTTGTGACCTCGTAGATTCCCTCCAGCGTAGGAGCACATCCTTAGAGTAGGTGTTCGGAGCCGATGTCGCATCATTTGGCGCCATCCTGGATCCAAACGAGCAACCACCATCTCGCTTGGTTTCAAGCTCGTTCTTCCCTAGATGGGTTGCGTTTCAGCTTACGTTTTGCTTGGATCTGTTCATTTCTACCATCATTTGCTCAGATCCGTTTGGCTCTTGCCAAGATCTACCCATGTTTGCTCATGTTGGGTTTTGAGCATTCTAACACTCCTAAGTGTACATGCAACCCTAAATACCTTGGATCT